AAAAAAAAAAAAAAAGAAAAAGAAAAAGAAAAGAAAAGAAAAGAAAAAGAAACACACAGGGGAGAGACTGTGGTGACGCTTCTGCACCCCTCAGGCTCAGGGTCTAAGCCCGCCTCCAGCCTGCCTCCCCCAGGAAACGGGAGGAGACACACAAGGTGTCCACAGAGAAGTCCTGCCACAGACAAGGAGAACCGAGGGCCGAGTGAGCGGAGAGGCTGATCGCAGGGCGCAGGGGCACGGTAGATCTTCAAGAGCGCCTCCTTGTGTTCAAGAAATTGCTGACATGTGTGGCCTGCGAGACAGCACAGTAAGAAAGGGGGAAGGAGCATCCGGCCAAGGGGCTTGAGAAAGACAACGGGAACTGAACAAGAGGAAAATACTAACCAACCTAAAAACACTCAGGCAGAACTGGTATCTGTATTAGAAACGGCACAAAACACACATTCTACGGAAATGGAGTCGGCCATGCAGAAAGAAAATGCACGTTCCTCCAGGAGACAGAGGGGAGGGCGCCCCCAGCCATGCTCGGGAAGAGATCCCGTGAGACTGCCACATGGGAAGACCCACAGCTGTGCTCGCCGTGGCCTGATACTAAGCCCCAGGGCACCCCCAGGTCCAGAAGGGCCCCAGGGTGGTCCGGCCACCCGGCCCACAGCCAACTCTGGAGCCCAGGGAGACACGAACTCCGCGAGGGTTCGGATGCCGCCAGGTCTGCCCTCGGCAGTGCGTGTCTGGGAAGTCCCCGGAAACTCGGACTCGGGACCTGCTGGCGCCGGAGCGGTGTTCGGGGACAGCGTAGTTCCTTCGTGGTGTCCAGGGTAGGGGCCCTGCTGTGACCAGCTCATGAGGGCATTAGGGCTCCCATGGCTCGGTTCTGGCTGGTTCTCGGCAGAGGGAATGAGACCAGCAAGGGAGGACACGCGTGGATACAGACGTGCTCTGCTCTGCTCTGCTCCGAGGCCCACCTCCCGCCATTTTCAGACGCCTCCGAGCCACCAGAGCGGTGAGTCAAATTAATAAACCTCTCCTAAGTTCACCAGGTCTTAGGCAGCTCTGTTAGCATTGCAGAAGTGGCTGGAGACACTCTGAGCGGAAGCCCACAGAAAATGTCTTGTTTGCAGGCAAACGATTCCCTCAGGACACTGTTCTATTTGTGTTCTCACCCTCCCTCCGGCTTCCAGCCTTCCTCCCTCCCCTCCTCCGGGCAAACAGGACCTTCCTCATCCTTGGAAATGCGACCTCCTGGGAAGAAGGGCTGACTTACCCGATCCCAGCTGAAACACAGGCCTAGGCGGTCGAGCTGCCCCCTCATGTGCTTGATGTTACTGCGAAACAAGGAAGAAGCCTGCATTTCAGAGCCGCTAGAGACAGACTCTTCTCTAAGCCATAGATAAACTACACTTGGAATCAATGAAAATATCCACATATTCGAAGACACCCCTCTCTGAACCTGCTCAGGATCCACTGGAAACCACAATGGTCCTTGGCCTGGGCTGCCGTTTCCCTGGCAATCCGAGAGCCAGCCCCTTGGACAGCGCACTCCGCCCACCCACATTCTACATCCTGCACAAACACAGGCCGAGGGGCTACAGGTTCAAAGGTGGTTGGAAACAAAAACCTCCACGTACGAAGTTCGGGAAACCACGCGGCGCGTTGTCAATCAAAACCTAAAACACATCGGCCTGGCACCCAGGACCCTGACTAGCTGGAGGGGGAGGAGGGTCACCGTGTGATAAGACCCCCTCAGGGGTGCCTGTCTCTGTGTCTCTGCCTCCGTCTCTCTCTTGCGTGCACCCATGCGCGCACAGTCTCATGAAAGAAAGAAACTTTAAAAAGAAAACAGTGTGTTAAAGACAAGCAGCAATAGACATGATCCCCCTTATGTCCAGAGGCTGGATGCTTTATTGGCTGTGCTTTCTGGGTCTCGTGCGCGGGGTGGAACTGCCTTGCGGGCTTCTGCACCCGGTGTATGAACACGCCTGCGAACACGTACCTCCGTGTCCAGCTCTCCGGATGGAGGTTCCTCTCGATGGCGGCATTTTCGGCAGGCAGTCCGAAGGCATCCCATCCCATGGGGTTGATGACCTAGGGCCCAGAGCACAAGCACAGAAGCCTAGGTGGGTACCCTGGGCAACAAGCATCATCGTTTCCTGTGGGATTTCGAACTGCAGCTGGGAGCCCACTGGCTGCCCACGGCATAAGCCAAAATGCCAACGCAGCCAGCCCTGAGTGTTTTCACAAGCAACTGTCATTTTCTTTTTCCAATCTGTACTGTCTTTAAGGAACCCAATTGTTTTCTGAAATTATGAAGTTTCTCTCAGCTTCGAAAACATGCATATATGTAATGTAGAGGTGTTCGAAGTGCTGTCCCTGTCGGTGTTTTCCAGACAGAGAAGGCAGCACCAGCCTCGTAGGACTACAGAAACTCAAACCTTAGCTAAAAGGAAGTAAGTAAAAATGCAGATCCCTGAAGCCAGCAGGTGGCATGGTGGTTAGGGCGTTGGACTCCCACATGGCCGACCTTGGTTTGAGTCGGAACTGGCAGCTTGAAACTCAAGCTGGGCACGTGTGCATGCATGCCCACCCCTCTTGGGGGGTGATTTCTCACTTCCCTTCTCTCTCGTCTCTCCAGTGAATGCACATACCCTATGGAAAAAACCTTAAAGAATAAAAAACACAGCTCCTCGGTTGCACCAGCTCCTTTCGAGGATGCGGCTGGTGGCTCTCGGCCAGCCCCTGCAGGTACAGAACCTTCCTCTCCCTGCGGGAATCCCACGGGCAGCAACCCCGGGACACGCGTCGAGAGGGAGGACTGCACGGGGCTTCTCTGCATCTCAGCTCTAGGCCAACCAAAGAGGGTCCATCCCAGCTCATCCTCGGAGTCTGGGTCTGCTCCCTTCCTGGTTAGCTGGCCCACAGCCCACCTCCGTTCACACCACCAGGCACCTGCTGGGCTGGCCCCAGGCGGCTGGCCCCAGGCGCCAGGCCCTGCTCTTCCTCTCCCTTTCTATCCCTCCTCCCTATTCCTTCCTGAAGTCCCTCCCCTACACCAGTCAGGAAGAAACGCCCCACCCTGCGCAGACAACCAGGCCCTCAGAAGCGAGCTCAGACCACACGCAGGAGCACACAGAAAAGAGGCCTGCAGAGGGACCGCAGGGGGACTCGACACGGCACGAAAGCAAACCTCCGCGCAGCCCTGTCTCGTGTGTACACTTATGTCGGGTGGCACAGCAGCCATGCAGAGCCCTGTGAGGACGGACACCCTGTGGGAAGGCCCTGGTGTGCATCTGGGGCCTCCCTGTGCGGGCCAGGCACACACGCCTGCCCCAGGGGGCTCACAGCACAGAAGACCTGTCAGGGACGCTCTCTCTGTCCTTCTCTCTGTGTCTCTCATGGAAGAAATAAATTTAAAAATGCCTAAAATAACCTCAGTTTGGGGCCAGCACACGGGGCAATTGAGATAGCTGGATCCCACAGGGCTGACTGCGTGGCCCAGTCCCGGGTGGCTTGACGACTGCGCATCCACACCCCGAGGTCACTCTAGTGGGTCCCGTCTATTTTACTTCATGGTTTTAACTTAAGAACGTAACAGTACACTCATGTTCATGAGGGCAACGGCATGATACCATGATACGTAAGACTAAGCCGGTCCCACGCCCAGGCCTAGTCCTCCTCAGCTCCCTGACGGAACAGACGCCATCCGGACCCATCCACTTAGTACTCACACGCACACGCGCTTGCTTGCTCATTTTTACGGGGACAGAACCTACTACACACGCTGTTTCATGATCTGCGTATGTGTGCATGCTCACCTGTGTGTGTGTTTACACGTCCCAACATCCCCCGAGTCTACCTGTTCTCTGTGGTTTTAGGAACCTACTAGACACCCCTCAACCCGGCTGACCTCTCGGGCCTGAGGTCTCTCATCCTCTTGCTCAGTGTAGCAGATCCGAAGGTTTCGTCCTCCCAATAGCACGTTCCTCCCTGAGCAGGCTGTCCCCTACCACCTGGCTTGCACCCCCATCTGATCCCCAGCCCCTGGGCTGCAGGCGAGGCATGCCAAGCCCTCTCCAGAAGCTGCAGGTAGGCCAGAGGCAGAGGGCACTCCCTCCTCCAGGTCAGAGGCCAAGAGGGCCTGGGCGGCTCAGCCCCCACCCCCACCGTGTGAGCAGTGGAGAAAACAAAGCCTGCATGCAGAATGGCAGAGGAGGGACAAGGGCAGGAAGGAGCCCAGGCTTCAATCTCCGGGGCAGGGGAGGGCAGGCTCCTCTGGCTCTGTGAGTTACACGGAGATCCATAAAAACAAACAAAATCTTCCTTTTTGCTTAAGCTGGTCTGAGCTGGGTCTCGGTCCTGCCAGCCAAGCATCCTGGCTAAGACAAACACCCTTTAGGATATTCAAACTTTCTCTTGAATATTGCTTGATCCATAAATGACAAACATATTCCTATATTCATTACTAAACCTCACAGTTCTCTTTTTCTTTTTAATTTTCAAAAGCTTAAAAAAAAAAAAAAAGGCTGGAATATGTGCTGGATTTCCAGAAAGTTCTGCATACGTCCATGGGTGGCACCGGGTTCAGCTCCTCGCTGCTGCTGAGCCCCATGAGGCCGCTTCCTCGCTTCCTCGGCAGAACGATGCACCTGTTGTGTAACTGCTCCACGAGAAAAGGGGGAGGGTGATTACCACTCGCTTTCTTTGTCAGAACTGCCAAGATGGCACCGAGTCGATGCTTCTGCCGTTACCATTCTGTTAGGGGCTGTCCACATTTTTAAATAAAGCCAATACAGAGACTGTCAGGAGAAAATGAGTCTGGATTTACGTAACCGACTTATTCATTTCTATTTTTGTTTTCAGATGGAATTAACATGAGAAGGTATTCTTAGTTCACGTGTTATCCAAGCTGTCTATGAAAATAAAGTAGAAAGATCTTAAAGTTTCTTAATATTTCATATTTTCACCAAAACTGAAGGAGAAATAAGGGCTGCCTTAAAGGAAGAACAGGACACAGACTACGGGAGGCCTCTGCATCTCGAAGCTAGGCTCGTGACATGGGAACAGTCCCGCTGTGTCTTCCCAGAGCCCCAGAGCTCACGCTGTGCTCGAAGATGAGGTGCTCCTTGGAGGGAGACAGACGATGAAGACGTGCAGCAGGTTTAAAGGAAAGGGAGATGCAGAGCTGGTCTCCGACTTCCCGGTCACGCTGCCGTGGCCAGTGTACGTGAAAAGCACAGCGGGTACTCCGGCCTCGGCCTCGGCCCTGCCTGGTTCCCCGTGCTGCCCAGAGCAGGTGCCTCCGGGTAGAGAGCACTTTCCTTCTGACCTCTCCGTGGCCAAGATAGTCCCGACCGCTCGCTCTAAGCTCTTCGTAGTTTTTAAATGCCTGTTCTTTCTTTCTACCAGCATAACTTGCTGTAATCCTTCCACAGTAGGAGAAGTAACTGTACCTACAGCTCACGTGGGCCGACCAAGCAACTTACCACTTAAAATGACCAGGAGGAGAGGTGGAGGCCCAGGGGCGCTGGCTGACCCCACGGGGAGGAGGTTCCAGCCTGCACCTCCCTGGTATACCCCAGGCTGGTGTGTGCCCAGGACCTGGGGCTGGCTCAGGCTCGAAGAGGGTCATGGGAGCTCTTCCCTCGCTCTCGCTCTCGCTCTCGCTCTCGCTCGCTCACAGAAGCAGTGAAAGGTAAAACAGCAGCGTCTGGATTTATAGGCTGGGCCCCACCCAATCCTTTCAACTTGCAAGGCGTTAACATCTTCTTGGGTGTGAGTGCTTTGTGCAGCCTCAGAACAGTTTTTCTGGGTATTTTATACATGTTTTATGTCTATTGAAGACATACTTTGAGGCCAGCAGATGGCTTGGTGGTTAAGGTGCTGGATTCCCACATGGTCAACCACAGTTCTAGTCCAAGAACTGGCGGCTTGAAACTCACACCAGGCACGTGTGCATGTGTGCCCAAAATCCTAGGAAGAGAATGGAGGAGAAGGGGCTGCAGTGCGGCCATTCCCCCTAGGGGAGTGACTTCTCACTTTCCCTCTCTGTCTCTGTCTCTCTCCAGTGAGGGCATGCACCCTATGGCAAAAACCTTTAAAAAATGCATATGCACCCATTGATTTGGGAAGACAGAACTGTGACGTCTCAGCGGGCAGCAGCAGGCTACTCACAGAGAATGGGAAGATGCTCAGAAAGAGTTAGAGTAAGTCCTGGTAGCTAAACCTCCGAAGTCTGGAAGACCGCCATCTCCAGCTGGTCCTAGGGACAGACACGCTAGGTATCTACAGTTGAGTGAGAAGCCATGGGGCCCACAACACCACCAGAAACTCAGAAAGCAGAACACCATCAGCCGCTCCCGACTGCAAAACAGAGGCAGAAGCAGAGCTAACAGAGCCCCAGGCTGACACCAGCGGCAGGACCCGGGACGGGCTGGCCAGCCCAGACAGAACTGGATTAGTCGCGGGACACAAGCCAGGGCAGAGAGAGGGACATCCTGCGAGATGATCTGGTCTGCGACCAGTGAGGCCAGCTGGCGAGGTGGATGACCAGGGGTTACAAAGCAGAGCAAACACGGGGGTCAGAGCTCAGCCACGCCACACCACCACTGGCCAGGAGCAAGGCCCGGGAGCTGGCCATGGCCATGGCCCACCCAGCAGGCCCCCTGCCCTCCAGGCTGAGCCCCAGCATCGAGGTCGGCACGCAGGATGGAAACAAGGAGATCGGAGGAGGGGGATGTGGCAGAGAACACAGTTCCGTGTGACAGCAAACAGGCCCGGCTCAGGGAATGCCGGCAGTAACACCTGGAGAGAGGGGCCCACTGGGAAGGGGCTGGCCAAAGGGGGCGCCAGCTCTGCCTATGTGGTATCTCACTTCTGCTCAAGGGGGGGTATGCAATTTTTTTTTTTTGGAGAGGTTTCTGCTATGGGGCATGTATGCTCACCAGAAAGACAGAGAGAGACAGAGAGACAGAAAGCGAGAAATCACCCTCCAGGGGGGATGGCCACGCCGCAATCCCTTCTCCTCCATTCTCCTCTCAGGATCTTGGGCACGCACGCACACGCATCCGGCGTGAGTTTAAGCCACCGGA